AGAAAGAGAAAAAGAGAAAGAAAGAGAGAGAAAAGGAGAGAAAGAGAAAAGAAGAAAGAAAGAGAGAGAGAAGGAGAGAGAGAAAAGGAGAGAGAGAAAGACAAAAGAAAAAAGAAAGAAGGAGAGGAAAAGGAGAAAAAAAAAAGAGAAGAAGCGAGAGAGAAAAGGAGAGAAAGAGAAGAGGGAGGGAGGGAGGGAGGAAGGAAGGAAGGAAGGAAGGAAGGAAGGAAGGAAGGGAGGAAGGAAGGAAGGAAGGAATTTGACTCCTGGGCTCACCATTCCAGAGTTACTGGAGAAATTTGCAGATGGTGGAGGGGAAAAAAACCCTCCCAAACTGCACACAGCTGCTATTTAATGCAACTTTACATGTATTTTTTCTTCTAATGCTCCCTGGCATTCATCATCCTTTGCTAGCATGCTCGGCATGCAAATCTAGAGCAAACTAGCGTTGTTATTCCACAGACGTCCTTAGAAGAGTTACTTTGGTGAAGTTTGCAATTCTTCCCCTCTCGTCACAGCCTCACGTCTCGCCCAACCCTTTGTAGCCTTGGGCAAAGATTGCCCAAGATTTGCCTGGAATAGTACTGGCCCTGATGAGGGAATCACATCATCGTGGCTGTGTGCTACAATCCTGCAAGAGGGAATTTCCTCCCTCGTAAATATGCTCAGTCTGACACATCTGGAAACAGAAAAGCTGGCTCCGGAGAGATAGGGGGATGTTTATAACAGCAACAACAGCAGCAGATTGGCATTATATGTGCCAGGAGCAGATGAGCTGAATGCGGCTTGAAATTCTTGCCCGAAGCAAGCCGGTTCTTTTTTCGAGTTTGCATGTTTTCGAAAGGGTGCATGACATCTTGAATAAATATAATGCAGGATGAGCTATCTCTCTCTTTTTTTTCTTGGTGGGTATATCCATAAAAGCACTATGTTGGCGACCATAGTATATCACACTATTTCTCAGCCTTGGCAACTTGAAGATGTGTGGACTTCAATTCCCAGAATTCTCCAGCCAGCAAGGCTGGCTGGGGAATTCTGGGAGTTGAAAGCTACACATCTTCAAATTGCTCAGGTTGAGAAACTATGGTATCGGGTGTGTGGATCTGAAAGAAGCAACAAATGGGTCAAAAGTCACCTGAAACGCAAGAAGAGTGGCAAATAAATTTGATAAATAAATACAAACAAATTTTAAAAGAGCCAAGAAATGGGTGGGATATTTCTTTCTGATAACGTCAGCTCTCTTTTTCTTAGAACAGAGAACGATAGAGCTGGAAGGGACATTGGAGGTCTTCTAGTTCAACCCACCCAGCTCAAGCAGGAGACCCCATAAAATTTAAGACAAATGGTTGTCCAGTCTCTATTTGAAAGCCTCCAGTGATGGAGCACCCACAACTTCCGAAGCTGTTCCATTGGTTGATTGCTCTCACCATTAGGAAAATTTCTCCTTAGTTCTAGGTTGCTTCTCTCCTTGGTTAGTTTCCATCCATTGCTTCTTGTCTTGCGTTTTGGTGCTTTGGAAAATAGTTTTCTTCTTCTTCTCCTCACAAACTTTCCCTCTGACAACAAACAAACAAACAAACAAACAAACAATCTTCTTCTCACTGATCAAGTAACTAGAGAAAGTGAAAAGGATCATTCCAGATCTAAACTGGTTATTTGCAAAAGCCTTCTGAAATTAGGTTGGGTCACAGGAAAATATATCAAAGTTCACATAGAGCAGGGGTCTTCAAAGTTGGCCCTTTTATGACTTGTGGACTTCCACTCCCAGAATTCCTCAGCCAGGCACGCTGGCTGAGGAATTCTGGGAGTGGAAGTCCACAAGTCATAAAAGAGCCAACTTTGAAGACCCCTGACATAGAGCTTTAGAGATGCAGGCTATATTTCCTTTTGTTTTAATGAAAGTTGTAGAAGAGCCCTATTGGATACCTTTTCCTGTTACAAGAAAAATGTTCAGATCTGTCCATTTTACTTGCTTTACTTTACTTAATTAGAGACCGGGGAATAACTCTGTCACGTTTGGTGAGTGTGGTTTGTTGTTTTGAGATGGTCCAAGACAGGAGGATCAGTTCCATCTTGAGAACAGGCCTCTTGTACCTGGGACCGACCTTCCAAGTAGGAGACAGCTAACTAGATTATTTATTAATATCCCACCTTTTATTATTTTTACAATAAACTCAAAGAGGCAAACATAGGCAATGTCTCTACCTCCTCCTACTTTCCCCATAATAATCATGCTGTGAGATGAATTGGGCTGAGAGTGACTGGCCCAAGGTCACCCAGCTGGCTTTCATGGCTAAGGTGGGACTAGAGTAATAGTAGTAGTAGTAGTAAAGTTGGAAGGTACCTTGGAGGTCATCTAGTCCAACCCCCTGCTCAAGCAGGAAACCCTATACCATTTCAGACAAATGGTCCAGTCTCTTCTTACAAACTTCCAGTGTTGGAGCATTTAATCATCTCCTGGTGATTAGCCCAAGGTCATTCAGCAGCTTTCGTGCCTAAGCCAGTACTCACTGGAATAGGACAACTCACTGCAGCCACCTTGCTGCAGCCGATTCGCCATGGGACAACTCATGGTGGGATAATTCAATTTAATTTAAAATAATTAAAAAAAATATTTAAATTTTTGACGTTCACGTTTCATTTTGTCCCTTCTTTGGCATCCTTTCTTTGATTCCACCATTTCTTCTACATTAGTGTAACTCTTGTCCTGCAATGAGTTGGCCGTGGCAAGTTGTCTTAGACCAGGGGTAGGCAACCTTGGCTCTTTTATGACTCGTGGACTTCCACTCCCAGAATTCCTGAGCCAGCCATATTGAGGGGAAAGGGAGAGGTTCCCAAGCTGAGCCATGCTGGCTCAGGAATTCTGGGAGTTGAAGTCCATGAGTCATAAAAGAGCCAAGGTTGCCTACCCCTGGCCTAGACCCAGGGCTCACAGTCTCCTGGTTTCTAGTCTGCTGCCTTGACTAGTAGACCAAACTGGCTCCTTTTCTTTAACAAGCTCAAAAAGCAGAACTTAGAGGACCCCTAAGCAACATCACCATCTGAGACGTGAGAAGGACTGTTCAAGATTTGGATAGCAAACTGGAATACTGTGGAGTCTCTGGTGCTCCCTGAGCTTGGATGTTTTCTTGCAGATGTTTCATTACTCATCTGGGCAAGGCAGACCCTCATCAGCTGCATTAGCTGCATATTCTAGTGAAAAACTGAGTCCAGGAAGTCCTCCAAAGTTCTTACCATCCTTCTGCTAATATTCTGTTAATAGTCTAAAGCCACTAAATCCCTTTAAATGAAGCTTAGGGACAGGATTTGATGGTGACAGATCTTACACGGGCATGGTCCTGAACGTGTTTTCTTGAGTTTGTTAATTACATTTTAGTTGTCAGGGTCACCCCATATTCACCGAGGGATGTAGCGAGTTAGTGATAAGATCCACATTTCCCTCTGACAAGCAACAAATAAATAAATAAATCCCAGAAAAAATGTTCCTATTAACAGATAGCTTCAGTGAATCTTCATTATCATGAAGTGCAGCTGGCAGCTGAACGTTATGCTATAAGCTCTTTTGTCATAATCTTTATTTCAAGATGTGAAATATCAGTTTAAGGTCAGCGCTGTGGGCAAAATACATTTCCCTGGTTGATGGGCATCAGCTACTGATGAGCTCACGGCTATCGCACTGGCCTGCATCTAATTCTGGATCAGTTTAATTTAATTAGGTCAGGTGGAATGCTTTGGCTGTTTAATTTCAGTGGAGGATTGGGTTGTGTTAACACTATCATGTTTGGCGAGCGTGGGTTGTGTGTTTTGGGATGGCCCAAGAGAGGAGGATCAGTTCCTCCTTGAGAGCAGGCCTCTTGACCCTAGAGTGACCTTCCAAGTGGAAGACAGCTGACTCAGTGTAGGCTCCTATTTTTACAGTCTCGGGAAGACAAACTAAGAGAAGACTCAAGAAGCATCACCATCTGAGACGTAAGAAGGATGGATCAAGCTTTGAGTAAGAGTCTACAGTACTGTGGAGTCCTTGGTGCTCTCTGAGCTTGGTTGTTTTTATGCAGACGTTTCATTACCCAACCAGATGATATCTTCAATGTTCTTTGAAGTTACCTAGTTAGACAATGAAATGTGTGCAAGAAAACAACCTAGTTCAGAAAACACCAAGGGATGTACAGTCTAACACTGATCTCCTGGAATTGGTAGACTGGAATACATGGCAAAAATGGGAGCAGATCCCATGTGTGACTCCTCGAATCCAAGGCCCAGTAAGGATGCTTGATTGCATGTATCACCAGCACATGTTTTGTATATATCAGTTCTTTGAGGGAACCCAGATCACAAAACAAATGGCTGAAGTTGTGCATAAGATTTAAAGAGAGGACTCAGAAAACATGGCAAAGCTATGAAGGATATGCACGAGGTGTCTCTTATTTTGTAGCCTTTCCTCATTATGGGAGAAAATACAATTAGTCCTTGACTTACAACAATTTGTTTAGTGACCATTCGAAGTTCTAACGGTTTCAGTGTCCTGGGGTCAGGTGATCCCCTTTTGCAACCTTCTGACAAGCGAAGTCAATGGGAAAACCAGTTTCACTTAACAACCGTGTTACTAACTTAACTGCAGTGATTCACTTAACAACTGTGGGAAGAAAGGTTGTAAAAAGGTTGTAAAACTCACTTAACTGTCTCACTTAGTGACAGAAAAATTGGGCTCAATCGTGGTCCTAAGTTGAGGACCACCTGTATAGAGGGGATTTACAAGGCCATGAAATCTTAGTGCCAAATTTCAATAAAAGGACTAAAAGTTGCTCGTTAATATGGAGCTTCTGCACAGCTTTAAGTGCTCAGTGCAGTACACCAGGGGCCTTGGAGTATCTCCGTTGCTTGAACTGGAGCATCCAGCAACTGGAGGGAGAACATCTTGCTTGGTCTGTTATGTTTTCTTGTGTTCTGTTTAATTTACCAGCTACAGTTAAACAACACAGCTTAAAATTCTCCTTACCTACCAGTGTGATCCTTGTCTCTAGATCAATCAGAATAGAGCTGGAAGGGACTTGGTGGTCTTCTAGCCCAACTTGCTCAAGCAGGAGATCTGTACACTTTGAGACAAGTGGCAGTCCAATCTCTTCTTAAAAACCTCCATTGATGAAAATCTTCAAAGAACCATTTGTCTGGCCTCTGGCTCCAGCCTGATATTTGGCCAAGCAATCACAAAACAAAACAAAAAAATCCTTAGGAGGAGTTAACTTCATGTGATCTTCTCTTGAGGCTAACCTTAAGTAAGGGAGACAGGGAAACTGCTGGAGAGATGATTGACACCGATGATATTTACACAGATGGTGGACAATGAAAGCTGAAAGAAATAGTGGATTGGAAAGGTTATGGGGACAGAATGTACAGCTGAGGTTTCCTTGAACTGATGGATAGACTATCCACCATCAAGTCGCTTGACCACAAAGATACTGTAGACTTCCTCCATGGTAATCTGTTTCTAACTCAGTGTTTCAGGTTTTAAGAAGAGATTGGATTGCTTTTTTGTCTATAATGGCATAGGGCAGTGTTTCCCAAACTTGACAATTTTAAGGCATGTGGACTTCAACTCCCAGAATTCCACAGCCAGCAATGCTGGCTGTGGAATTCTGGGAGTTGAAGTCCACATGCCTTAAAATTGTCAAGTTTGGGAAACACTGGCATAGGGCATGGGTGTCAAACTCACCACGTCACGTGACGTGTCACAACATATCGTGACTCTTTTTGCGTTGTGGGCAATGGGATGGGTGCGGCTTCGGTATGATGAAACCGGCCCGCGGACTGGCAGTTTGACACCCCTGGTATAGGGTCTCCAGCTTGAGCAGGAGGTTGGACTAGAAGACCTCTAAGGCCCCTTCCTGCTCTGATATTCTGTATTCTGTCTTTTGACTTCCAGCAGTGCTTTCGTTGCCATCTTGCTGCTAATTTCCCCTTCTTCTCTTTCCTTCACTTTGTTTAGAGAGCTAGGACTTTCTTAATATATTTGAAGTAGGATAGTTTAAGCCTGGTAATTTGTTCCACCAGTGAGAACAGATAGCTCTAAATATAGAGGACCTACAATATTATCATATTTTGCCTGTCACCTTCACACTTAAGTCATAATTTTTTCCAAGCCTGTCAATGTGCTTACTGAATATTTGGACATAGGGGTTGAGCAACTCATCCTAATGGAATTGGATACTTAGCATAGGCTACTACCCTGTATATTACAGCACTCTACAAAGTCTGAATTAGTCAGATCCACAATCATGATGAAGAATAGGGAGGGAGGGAGGTTCACTAGTTGGTAGATGTATATGGCATTTTTTTTTTAAATAAAAAAGCTAGTTCCTTAGCTGCCCCAAAGGATGATAGAATAAGAGAAACGTGGCACTTGGAAAAGCAATTCAACAAACTTATATTTCCTGCAAATTAAGCTTTTGGCAAACTTATTCATTTTTTTTCCCTTTCCAGATTGAACTAGTTGTCCTCAGGGACTGTCCCTTATCTTAACCACCTGTCATCTGGCGGTGTCTGCTCCTCTTATTTCAGTCCTACGTCTTAATTTTCTAAGCTACTTCTTAAAGGGAAATAATCCCTTTCTTGCTTAGTCAAGATATATGTGTGTGGGAGTCTCCATGTAGCAGTGCAAGAAAGGAAAGTAAATCCACCTTGACATGGCCAGTCCAGACTGAATTCTCAGCTATGCTCACAGGTAATATTGCTTATCTCCATTTCAGCTGCAATTATTAGATTTCTTCATGTGGCATTATTTTAGGTGCATTCCTGGTTAGGATTCTTTGCTTTCCCAAAAACTGAGTACACACCATTGCATAGCAGATTTGTACACAATGCTTTATTATAGCACATACTTTCCCCCAAAACAGACTACATATTTGTCCTTAACTTATGATCACAACTGGGACTGGACCTTTTATCAGTAAGCAATGTGGTCATTCAATGAGTTGTGCCCGATTTTATGACCTTTTTTGCCACTGTTGTTAAGAAAATCACATGGTTGTTAAGTGACTACTCCAGCTTTCCCCATCAAACTTGCTTGTTAGATGCTTCCTGAGAAGATCATAAATGATGATCAGAGCCTCCCTACTCCCCATGCTGCAATCATGACAACTAAACGCCAGTTGCCAAATGCTTGAATTTTTGATGACGTGACTCCAGAGAGGCTGTGATGATTGCAAATTTCTTACTCTCTTATAATCCCTTTCTCTCCAATGAATGTAAATACAAACATTAATTCTATTCTTGCTATTTCCCAGCCCTGGGTGAGTATTCCAAAGATGAGGAAGTGATTAGGAGGCAAGTTTAAGTTTAATATACTAATCATTAAACAAGAATGGTGGGAGTCTTAATAATCTTTAGTCATGATAATAAAGACTTCAATTATTGTATCAAATGAGTGATGGTTCCTTGGTGCGGGTACAGTATAATTATATAATCAGATTGGCTATAGAGATTATTGCTGGAGATATGAGATCCAGTCCATGGGACACAAAGCCATAGCCTATATTAATTGAAGTTGGCAACTTCTTGCATCACTTTAATTGCTGCATAAGGCAGTTGAAGGACATTGTGGTTGCCTTGTCTTTTACTGCATTTCTCCCATTATATACAGCGGTGCTTCTCAAACTTGGCAACATTTGCTTGCAAGTTGGCTGGGGATTTCTTGGAGTTGAAGTCCACATATCTGAAAGTTGCCAGGTTTGAGAAACGCTAGTCTATAGTGTATGAAGGCAAATATATATATTTGTCCCAGGATCCTGCTACTAGTCTATAGCCTCCCTGGCCTCTCAACTTCTCTAATTCCTGGACAACATGACCCTTAAAGGGCACCAGTTTAAAGAAAACCAGATTTAAGGTTCAAGCAATAAGAAAACAAAAAAGCTTTCTCTGCTCACCGGCATTTCAAAAAAAAAAAAGATGTTTAAGAAATGAGACAGAACAGACACTCATGGAAATTACCCAACTTCTTTAGCATAATGCCAACAATCTGAAGCAATTTGGCCATTACCGCAATTGCTTTGCAGCAACTGGGCAGCTTTGGAGAAGCCCTCCAATTATTTTGAAAGCATCCTGAAACATCCAGATCTAATCTCCTTTCAGTAGCTACACCAACATAGGCCTGCTGTCTTTTCAAGCAGACTGGTTCTCCCTGCCGCCATTTGCAAGATATCCTTCCCTCTATTTTTTGTTTTTTTTTGGAAGCATCTAGGAGGCAATGCTTTCTCAAACCCCATTTAGATCATCCAAGTTCCATTTTTGCAAAGAGAAGGAATGTTAATTGAAAGGCAATTGTAGCATGAGACCATTCCAAGGAGAACTATTATAGAAAGAACAAATGGGATGGCGGTTGTGCTCCCCATCTGTAAATTTCCAATGCTCAACATTATTAGAAAATATTTAGATATATGATTGGTTGGGTATGCCAAACATGTTATTTCACTGGGGACAGATGGAGTTTCTGATATGGAAAGAATTAGAAGGGATCTTGGAGGTCTTCTAGTCCAACCCCTGCTCAAGCAGGAGAGCCATTTCAGACAAGTGACTATCCAGTCTCTTCTTAAAAACCTCCAGTGTTGGAGCACCTACAACTACTGAAGGCAAGCCATTCCATTAGTTAATTGTTCTCACTATTAGAAAATTACTCCTTAGTACTACTTAGGTTGGTTCTCTCCTTGATTAGTTTCCATCCATTACTTCTTGTCCTGTCTTCAGATGTTTTGGAAAATGGACTGATCTCACTCTTCTTTGTGGCAGCCCCTCAAGCATTGGAACACAGCTATCATGTCACCTTTAGTCCTTTTCTCTAGACTAGCCATGTCCAATTCATAGCTCCTTTCCCATTGGAAGCATTTTTCCCCACATAAACCTGAATGCAGATTTTAAACCTGTGGATGAGCACAGCAGTGCTCCAGGGCTTATCTTGGCTGAACCTACTTTGGCTCAGAAATGGTTGAACCTATCTTGGCTCAGAAAAAAAATACCCTTGTGATCAGACTAAATGGCTCCCTTATACTATCACAAGCCAAAATCATTCAGATGACACATTGAGGACTAAAATGGCCATGACTTTGGGTACTGTCCTGATTTTTAAATGTTCTCATCCATTCCTGGGTGATCAATTTTTACTGGGTTTTCTTCAACAGAATGAAGAAGCAGAGATCAGATGTAGCAAAAAAATGATTTTTTTGTGGCATTTAATTGGCAGTTCCTTTGACTTCTACCATCTGTAAACTGTCACTTACCATTTTCTACTCAACAGCATGCTCAAGAAGCACAATTTCTTGAGAATATTCAAACTGAAGGACTGGTAATGTCCCTAAACTGGTCTTCTATTATCTATGTTTTTGGAGATTAGAACATAGACTAAGTGCTGGAAGGGACCCTGGATGGGACCAACTCCCTGCTCAAGGCAGGACACCTTGTCCCATCCCAGTCAAATGTTTGCTTAGTCTATTTTTTGAAAAAATTCAATGATGGAGCACCTACAACTCTGGGAGACAAGCTATTCCGTTGATTAATTGTTCTCACTCTCATAAAATTTCTCCTTATTTCCAGGTTGGATCTCTCCCTAGCAAGCTTCCAGCCATTACTTCTTGTCCTGTTCTCAGGTGCTTTGGAGAATAATTCAATTCCCTCTTCTCTGTGATCGCTTTTTATGACCATACCCAGTACCAACATCCAAGTCATCAGAGGAAGTGTTAAAAGAGTATCAGGTCCACAATGTAATCTTATAGCATCAATCCTCTTCTTACCTCACTCCAATTTGATGAGGAACATGGATGAGCATTTTTGGATATGGTTTTCAAGCCAGATGTTGGTCTTTCTAGTAGATCCACCATCCATGCCATACTTTGCTGATCAGAAAATTATGGGGCATTTTACTGCTTTATTGAAGTTAAGACAGCAAGATAGATTACATAAACAGCATTTCCTTATTTTATAAGGGAAGTTACTGAATCAACAAAATGAAATTAATTTATTCTGACAGGAGTGGTTCAAACATTGTTTTCAAGGCACTTAAAGACTGATTGCTCTATAATTTACTCTAGCATCTTCCTGGGTGTCTGTTACAGATTAACTAGTCATTAGGTTGCCGTACTATGCAATTTCATTTTTCTCCCTTCTGAAGATGGGAGTAACATTTACCTTCTTTTAGTCATCTGTATTTTATCTATGCTCTAGTCTAGCATTTCTCAAAATAGAGAAATCAATATAAATTGAACAGCAGACTTCCTCTCCAAAGTTCTAAGAGGGAGATTTGGGTGGTGTTGTCCTTATTGGGGGTAGGGGGGTGAGTGGGGTTTAATGACAGCTAGATATCAAATCATATTCAATAGTATATCAGTACTCATTGTTAATTGGTTCCAGGAGGCATGATGAATATCAAAAATGTTGAGTACCAAACAAATTTTTCCCATAAAGAATAATGTAATGAGTCAGCCAACACCCACACATTCTAGCTTGTGCATTGAGTACCAAACAAACAATGAGTACTGGGACAAAATGTTTGTGTCAAAACGCATTGAGTACCTAATTTGATGAGTTTCAAAGCAGTTGGGTACCTGAGGTACCACTATATTGTTCCCATAGCTTTCTATTGGGACGTTCACCAAAATAGAGAATGATCTTGACACCTGCACTAGTACAGCTCAATAATTTTAGTTTCTGTCTTATGGAATCCAGAAACAGATTGATAAACATGTGTATAGCATTGGTGGGAGGACATCTTAAACAAACTAAATAAATAAGTTGAGAATCTGTAAACATATACATGTTCAGAGTATGCTGCAGAGATAGGTATATTTATCACTGACCTGTGATTCCTGGTCATCTTCTACTTGGCCAGGTGTGGATCCATGACTTTAGTCCAGAGGTCTTTGCATTAACTACAAGACTGTTCATCTGTAAGTAGAATTATAGCCATATGCGACTGTTCTTCCTGAGAAATATTCCCTGCATAAAGCTGAAAGCTGATTTATAATTATATGACATCTACAATAAAGATAAACATCAAGTTTCAGGCATGCCAAATTTTGTTCTAAATCACAGAGTTACAGAAAGATGTGTGGAACAGTTGGGATAGGTTTAAGAAATATTCCTTCATTTCCCCTTGCCTCACACCATCTCACAGTTGAAAGCATCACAGAGATTTCGTGTGTTTTCAAAAGTCCTATAAGGCACTCCTCGGTAATTAGTCAAATACCTGCTGGGCTATCTCAGATTAACAACGAGGGTTCGCTCTAACAGAGGGAATTTAAACTTGGCATCAGCCCATGGAGAATGCAGAGAGCATATTCTTCTAGCTGCTCTTCTTGAATTGAGCTTCTGTGGAGCTTGGGGTTATAAATAGAAAGACCTGGAAGAGGCTGACAGATTTCAGTGTAGCTTAGTTCAAGGTGACTTTGAAAAAAAAAATGGAATACATGATAGTAGACAGGAGGCCCTAATCAGAGGACCCAGCATAGATTTCTGTTCTAGCAGTCAAAGCAAACAGGGCTATTTTGATGGAAGTATCATGAAGCTTGTTGACTTGCTTAAATGCCCACTGTTCTTCAGAACGATAGCAATAGTTGATGGGAAGTCTTCATGCCTACTGTGGTGAAGTTGTTGGGTTCCTGTTTTTTTTCTCTCTTTTGGATGAAGAGAAATTAAATGAAGGCTGGAAGAATAGCAAGTTCATAAGCCCACTTGTCTTCCTTTCCTTCCTGGGTCTCTTACACAATACCTTCATTTTTCCTGCCTCGATTCTCAGAATAATTTTGAGCTGACTTACGGTTATCCTACCTCTCCCTGCCTCAGAACTCTGGGAAGTAAAACAAAGAAGTCAACAATAACCATCCCACTGGCAATCACTACAGAAACCCTCCACAGAAGAGGAAAACATAAAATAAATAAAAACCCTATTGGCAGGAAAAGCTTCCAACTTGTTTCTTTTATTTTTTTGTAAAACTTAGTTAAATAAACCAGAGTAGATTGATCATAATGTGCAATCACATAAAGCCACTCTGTGTGAATTAAGAATAACAGAATAAGACTTGGAAGGGACTTTGGAGGTCTTCTAGTCCAACTCTTGCTCAAACAGAAGACCTCATACCATTCCAGACCATTGGCTGTCTGGTCTTTTCTTCAAAACCTCCGGTGATGAAGTACCTATAACTTCTGAAGGCAAACCACACTGGTTAATTGTTTTCACGGTTAGGAAGTTTCTCCTTAGTTCTAGGTTGTTTCTCTCCTTTATCAGTTTCCATCTGTTGTGTCCTGAGCCTGCAAAGGCAGGCTCGGGACGTTGCAATGGTCCCGGGCAGTTGCAAGCTACCCGGGACCAGACTGGCTGGCGCTGGCTTTGCACGCATGCGTGAGGCTCGGAGCGTGCCTAATTGTTACCATTCTGCCCGGGGACATTGTTAAAAAGAGTCAGAGAGGCCTGCGAGCCTCAGAGCTGTGTTGGAGAGTGTGAACTGTTGAATAAAGGCTGTTGTAATGAGCAGAATGTCTTCTCTTCATTTGCCGTTGATCCAAGGACTCAACACTGGCGACGAGGATGGGGTCGTTTGCAAGATCAAAGAAGAAGATTTGTGAGCTCACCCCAGGAGTCCTGGAGAGAGGAAGACGGCGTTAAACTCAGCACCTGGCCTGCCAGTACAGCATCGCTGGAGTTAAGCTGGCTGATAGACTCCTTCCTAGAGTAAGAAGCAAGAATGGTGAAGATAGGAAGACTGTCTGAATTCGAGGTTAATCACCCAGAAACATGGGAGTCTTATGTTGCCAGAGTAGAAAATTACTTTAGAGTAAATCAAGTAAGAGATGATGGCTTGAAGGCCGCTACTTTGCTGTGTGTCTGTGGTCAAGATGCATTTGAAATTGCAGAAAACTTAGCAGACCCCGCTCCTCTGGAATCTGTCACTTACACAGATTTTAAAAAGTTATTGAAGGAACATTTTCAGCCCAAGATGTCTGTTATTGCGTGGAGACACACTTTCGAACAGAGGGATCAAAGAGCTGGTGAATCAGCTAAAGAATACATTGCGGCATTAAGAAGAGCAGCTAAGCCTTGTGACTTTAAAGATTTAGAAGAAAGGCTGAGAGACCGTTTGGTATGCGGGCTTAGAAACAGAGACTTGCAACAGAGACTCTTTGCAAAAGAGGACGTCTCATTCCAAGATGCCTTGAGAGAGGTCACTGCAGAAGAGGCAGCAGGTGGGGCAGTCAAGAATATGAGACCTATCAGGAACAACCCAGAAGCCATCTCCGTGCACCATGAGGGAGTCCAGGAGAACTCAGAAGAAGATCCTGAAGATGAGGTGGATCATCTCTACCCAGCCAGAGAAAGGAAGCAAACGGAAGGCAAAGAAAAGTCTTCAGCTATGCCCAAGTGCTTCGGGTGTGGAGGTCGCCACAGGAGGACCGACTGCAGGTTCCGTTCTGCAATTTGTAGAGCATGTGGCAAGCAAGGCCACATAGCAGCTGTGTGTCTGGGCTGTCCGAAGGTACAACCATGAGAAGAATTGCACCTGAAAGGTACCAGGGTCCCCAGCCAAAACAGGGTGGGTTTCTGTGCATCACATAGAAGCATTTATAGGACAGGCACACACATGCCACTTAAAAAGAAACTGTCACTTAAGGTGAAGTTGCAGGGAGTTCCATTGGTTATGGAACTGGACACTGGATTTGCCCTTTCAATCATTTCTATTCACACTTTCAGAAAGATTTGCTCTAGCAGTGGGTTCCAGGCCAAGCTTAGGCCATCCAAAATAGTCTTGACAGACTTCCAAAATTCCAAAATGTGTGTTAAGGGGGAGGCCACCCTTAATGTACAACACAAGGATTTTGAAGGTCCATTAGATGTATTGGTAGTTGGGGGTGAACGCACGAGTCTCATTGGACTCGATTGGTTTGAGGCCTTGGGAATACAAGTTACAGGGCTTCACAGCTTGCAAACATTAGGTCTACAGGAAGTCTGCAAAGAATTTGCAGATGTCTTCAGCCCTCAGCTGGGAGCATACAAAGGCCCTCCAGTTTCCTTGAAACTGGATCCCACTGTCACTCCTATCAGAGTAAAAAGATCTCCCAAGTATCTTGAGGACTTTGTAACCCTGCTGGCAAAGCAGAAAAAGTGAGAGGGTGCCTGCTATTGTGGAAAATGGAAGTATGGGCATTGGGTATTAATCCCAGAATTATAGCCCGGTACCATTTGTGATGCGGGTATTGCACAGCTGCAATAGATGTGCAGGTTTGGGGTTGGCACACCACGCTCGTGTTGAGGTTGTGTATAACTACCTATATAGTTAATAAGTCTCATCCGGGGGGGGAAGGGGTGTTGTGTCCTGAGCCTGCAAAGGCAGGCTTGGGACGTTGCAATGGTCCTGGGCAGTTTGCAACTGCCCGGAACCAGACTGGCTGGTGCCGGCTTCGCACGCATGCGCGAGGCTCGGAGCGTGCCTAATTGTTACCATTCTGCATGGGGACGTTGTTAAAAGGAGTCAGAGAGGCCTGCGAGCCTCAGAGCTGTGTCGGAGAGTGTGAACTGTTGAATAAAGGCTGTTGTAATGAGCAGAATGTCTTCTCTTCATTCGCCGTTGATCCAAGGACTCAACACCATCCATTGTTTCCTGTCTTGCCTTCTGGTGCTTTGGCAAATAGGTTGATCCCCTCTTCTTTGTGGTAGCCCCTCAAATATTGGAATACTGCTATCATGTCACCCCTAGTGAATTATAATTACATAAAGCTGAAAAAAGACCTCTCCACTGATTTGTGGATTTTAATACATATAGGTTTCGCATCTGTCTTTTAGCCACTTCAATTAACATAGGCTACGGCTTTGTGTCCCTTGATGTGGACCTCATATCTCCAGCAATAATCTCTATAGGCGATCTGATTATATACCAGTTATGTTGCACTTGTACCAAGGAACCATCACTCAACTGATGCAATAATAGAAGTCTTCATTAGCACGACTAAAGATTGTTAAGACTTGTACACTTCCTGTTTAATAGTCAGTATACTAAACTTATTTTCTTTTTAAGAACAAATTCTTATGAATATGAAACCAGAAACTTCATAGGGGCAGAGGAATATAGTGTGTATGTGTGTGTATAAATTCACATAGTCTGTCTTTTCATTAAACTAGGCATATCCAATTCCTGTAACCGTCCTTTATTTTCTAGTTCTGACACACCCCTGGCATTTCAGGTCATTATAGAAGATCTTTCAGGATTAGCTCCTTCTTTAGATCTCACCAATGTATTTTCTAGCAGTAGGAGGGATAGTTTTGCTCGGATCTAACTTTGTGTCTGCAATTTCCACATTGGCTACTAGAGAGAAGTCACCTGCTTCTCCTAGAGCAGTGGTTCTCAACCTGTGGGTCAGGACCCCATTTGGAGTCGAACGACCATTTCATGGGGGTCGCCAAACAACGCAGTCCGCCATTTTTTCCCCCCTTTTCCTTAGCTGTGCTACTGCCTCTTATTCTATTGGCTTTTGAAAGCCAATAGAATAGACTCTCTTGAATAGAGTCTAATTCTATTGGCTTTCAAAAGCCAATAGGAATTGTCCAGGCTGTCTCTGCCCTGCTGAGCCTGCCAAAAGTCCCATTCTGCAAACGGTGCTGCACCAGTTGAGTAGTCCTCGACTTACTACTGGTTAAGTAGTCCTCGACTTATGACCGGTTGGGGGTCGCGGCATTAAAAAGGTTGAGAACCACTGTCCTAGAGGCCTGCCATTCCCCAGTGGACCACTTGGGGCTTCTGCCAAAGGGCAGCTCTGTTTTTTACTATTCATGTGTTATTTCGCATTCACCCTGGTCACCTGAAGGCTCCTGTGTAGCTCTAGTTGTTTCCTAGCAATAGGGAGGCTGGTTCTGAATGCAATTCCAGCTATTGCCATTCATGTAGCTGTTGGAGGGTAGCCAGAAAGCTGTGCTTGGCTCCTAGCAATAGCAAAAGTTTTGGGAAAGCCCATAGCTGGGTGCATAACTAGTGTGCGATTCAGACTGGCTTTCAGTCCTATCCAAGGGCTTGAGGCTCTGTAGGATGTAACCTCTCCTGGCTTGAAAAGCTATTATGCCTTCCATTCTTTTTCATACTCAGACAATGCATTCCGTTGAGTATTCAGCTACACAAAAGGTTAGTTCAGAAAGCTTTCTGTGGTTTTTGCATAGGGGAGGTTGAATGGGATTTAAGCCGGTTTCCTTAAAATCCCTCTCCGAAGCTTGAATGGTTGATGTTGTGAGGAGAACATGTTCTTATGGATTTCCTACTTGCTTCTCTTGTCTCCCAGAGGGAGTGGAGACAATTCACAATAATTAACAAAGGA